TCATAGAAAGTGACAATTTAACTTGCGGGGAGCAACGACACTGACACTGATGCAGTTTGTGTTTTTCATTGGGTTAATCATCTAATAGGTAAATTATGATAGACTTTGAGTAAATTTTTAATCTGCAAATATGCAGTGCACTGATACTAAACATTTGCAGAATCTGTGAGCTATCCGTTATGTTACTGTTTATTATTTTTGTATTGAACCAGGGTTTATTGTAAGAGTACTTTTATCTGAGGATAGAATTATGAAAAAATTCGTCACTAATTTTTAATTTACCATAAGTTATCTAGAGCGAATATTTTACACTAGCTGTGCCCCGCAGTGTTAACCGTGACACGTAGCCTATGTATTAATCCAGGGTGTCTGCTAACTCCATATTAAATTTCATTAAAATCGCTCCAGCCGTTTAGACGTGAAGAAGTAACAAACAATATTATTATGTACTCACACACTTACGCCTTTATAAGATTAGTGAATTTATGGATCCAGCGACTGGGACCGCGGTCCCAGTTATTTGCGGTGCCAGTAGCTGGTAACCTCGTGATTACTTTCTTGGAAAAATACATTAATAAAACACAAGGTCGATGTAGACCAAGTTCCCTCGAATCGTAAATAAATCGAGCACGGAATGTAGCAGTATGAAAAATGATCACAAACCAGTGTCGCAGTTAAATATTCAGAAGTCAGTGTTTTGCTGGAACACCTAGGTCTACAAATCCTTGGCCCGTATATTCGCTGTGAAAATAACGGTGTGCACAAACTAGGGTTGGCACTGCTTTGTAACTTTAAAAGTAACCTACATTCTTGCACATTTTTCTTTCACCTTTCGGTTCGAGCTTGAGGTCACAGGTGTTTCGGTTTTTAAGGTAATCTTTTTTGTTTTGTTTTTATGTCAATTTATTTTTACGGTTACTTTACATAATGTTATGTTGCGATCAATGCTGAACTGGTGATAGAGATATGGGTACCCCACACGGGTAATCATCTCTATCACGAGTTTTCTTCCCGATAACTTATTACAAACTCGTCATTATATTTAAATGATGACGAGTAAACATCTTTTAATTTATTTTTTAATTGTAGAAATAAAAAAACATGTTCAAAAATTATTTTTTCTTTTCTTAGCTTAGATATTAATTTTCAATGTTCTAAGTTTCCCTGATACTACTTAATTTTTGTTTTTTTTTCCGTGTTTTATGCGTTTTCCAACTCGTCAATTATGTATTTAGTCGGTGTAATGAAAATATAATTGGAATAGTTGATTTTATTAAGAATTTGAATTGGTAATTAGGTATTTTATCATTGTCTGCGGTGGTAAAGTTTTAATTAATATGCGTGCAACATATTAGCGAGCGTAGGTGCAATTTAATGTCAGTTGTTAGAAAATTAACAGCACTTAACGACTTTCTACGGGGACTTTCGCGAAACTCCCATTTGGTGGTTGCATTGTTGCATCACTTGTTTTATTAGGGTTAACAAGAATTTAAATGATTATTTTATAATTAAAGGAATACGCTGGTCTCGTTAGAAACCAGAACGTTTTAGTATAACATCATAATATTATTGTTTGTTCTGGCTATAAAATATCTAGCGTACTTATTTGCATATTATCTCGCATGGAAAATACTACCGCCTTGACTTATATGCCCTTAACATTTTTACTAAGAGAAATAACAATTACGGGAAGTTGACTTTTACATGGCTCACGTCATCGTTATTAAAATTGACTAAGATAACACTGTATTAAACAAGAGCCTAAGTAGGGATTCTATTTTGTAGCAGTAGTAAGAAGGAGTAACGCAAGGCAATCTGGCTCTACTTTTTTATCATCATACTTTATTTTATTTTATAATTTTCTTTATTAGGAAAACATACAGCTTATATTATGATACAGGTAGAATAAAAATAATAAGTCTTACACAAATACCTAACAAACACTTAGAGAAGCAAAGCAGTTTAATTCCTTAAATGGTTTGCCTATTGAATAATTATCAAAATAAGTAGGCATGATTAATCGCATCTTTACCTACGAGAGTGTGATTGAGGTCAAAACTTGTCTCCCGCAGTTCTAGAACTATTAAAATAAGGGTCAAATTAAATTTATCATAGCATTGCTAACCCTAGCCAGTCCGCCCGCACCGCAACGCATCGTCCGGCGCGGGTCGTTTGATCATTTATTTAGCCGGTTGTTTTATTCCCCGTCACCCGCCCGGGATGCATTTAACAGCGTCACTGCAACTTGCAAACGGGGAAATTGCTTTATTTATTAACTTTGTAACGTTTTTCGTGCATTTTGCTCGATGTTCAGGTGTCGAAGTTTGTTTGGGGTGTTAGGCAAATACAGAATCCCTTGTAGGTAGGTATATTTTAATACGACAAAATGTTTTAGTGAAGTAAGTTCTAAATAAAAGAAAATGACCATCATCAGATTATTTAGCCTCCACTGCAGGAGTATAACCGCATCCTGGTACTTCTCCAGACGGGGTGCAATTAGTGTTATAGCTCGAGTGAGTACTGTCTTCGGTAGCATCAGTTGCCCAACATTGCGTGCGTGCGTCATATTGTTCTGTGGCTCGACTTTCGCCTGACGCGACAGGCCAAATAAAAAGCCTAACAAAAGCCGGACAGGCCGGACAAGACAATATTTGGCCGGACAAGACCGTAAAAAGCCAAACATGTCCGGCTAAAGCCGGACGCCTGGCAACCCTAAGTGGGAGGCCTGTCCACACTATGTCTTCTGGCCCATGGTCACGTGGTCCAATTTACAACAGGCAAATTGAGGATTTGGCCTACACTTCTTGTTGGCGCTTCTCGGGTCCTCGGGCTTCATCGACATCGATCGGCCATCATCGTCTCCGCGCGAGGCGCCGGCACACTCCGTACTTGCCCGACGCCCACTCAGCCTCTCGACCGTCACCGGTGTCAGACGCGGCCCTCCCACGTAGGCGCGAACTAGCGNAACTAGCGATATATATTTTACAATATTATACCTATGAAATACAGTCCGCCTTTAATTTATATATCTGAAGTCTAGTAAGACCCTAACACTTCTCACGCTAACGAGATGGGATGAATATGTAAGTCGCCTGTCATGACATCCACCGTGGTGATTTTATTCTACTCCTGAATCACACGGCTAGAAGACGAATATGATAACATGTTTGTTCGTTATGAGATGCATAACGTATTTTATTTAATTAGGTCAAAGGCTAAACTGGGGCAACCCTATCACAATATGGAGGGAAGTGGTGACAATAGTGCAGGAAATTGAATTCCAGGGCGGGAGAGATAGTAGGAAAAAGAAAATAATTGTGAAATTTTCATAATTACTTTCATTAATACCACACATTTTTACTTTAAATTGCTTTATTATACTCGTAAGATGAGCTAGAAGACGTAGTGAGGGCAGAACTCCCACTAGGTGGACCGACGATCTGGTTAAGGTCGCGGGAGGTGCCTGGATGCGGGCGGCGCGGGAGCGGTCTTTGTGGAAATCCTTGGATTCGTCTTTCGATTGAAACGAATGAACAAACGAACGAACTCTTAAGAGTTATCATATCAGTTTTAGGTAAGTATAAATTATAATTTATGTAAGTCCGGAGGCCTATGTTCAGCAGTGGACGTCCTATGGCTGACATGATGATGATGATGATGAAGTCCGTATAATAGAGTCCGTAAAAATATTTCAAATTCTTAAGAGAATCTTCTAAAGCTTGTAGAAAAATTTAAAAGAAAACTAAAACTAACTGGATAAGAGAAGAGAGTTTTTTCCTGTAATACCCTATAGGTAGGACTTGTAGCGCTGACCTAGTTATAAGTTTTAAGTAGCAAACTTTAAAGTGCGGAGGTGTGAAGTTACGACAAAAGATAATAAGTTGCAAAGAAAAAAGCTTTGAAACGATTATGATAGTTTTTTACTATCGATAGGTGTCTAAACTGATCCATTTTCAGCACACAAAAACGTATTTCAATGTTATGTTAGTAGTAGTCTATGATAATAGTAGAGGCTTAACATAAAACATTAGTCAATGAATGAATAAACAAGTATAGTAAAGGCACCTATTGTAGTTTTCTGAATAAAATATAAGCAAGTAGACAGCCACACAGGTAACGAGAACATTATTATTTTTTGATCCTTGCATATTTTCAGATGATGATAGAACAAAGCGTATCTAGTTCATTTGATATTTCAAACACCGATGACAAAAGAAAATACGACAAAGTGTAATAATGCACTCCCATCTTCGCTGGAACAACTCTACTATATTATTCTCTGTGTCAATTTTAAAAAGTACTTTGTTGAAGTAATAAAAAAACTTATGCATAAAATAGGCAAATGTCTTTTAGTTGAGCCCGAATTCGTTTCAAATAAATCATCTCTGTTTTCTTATCTTTTTATTAGAGAAGCTAAAGTTTCCCGATTTGGGGAAATCTTGTTTTCCCTTTTTAACTTAATGGGGGTCGGCGTTGGAGTATTTTGATTGTAAATTGAAAAGATCGGATCGTGTTTCAATACGTTTTTAGATCAAATTGAATCTCTTGTAAAGACTTCTTAATCCTGGAACTTTTTAACTGAGAGTAGGTACCTACTCGGTATCGTGAGGGTTGGTTTTAAATTCACATTAATTAATTATGTTCAGTGGGCGATAGTAAATAGAATGATTTTACACTAATTGGAGTGGCGTAGAGATTTACTATCATTTTAAGCCTATCCCACGTAGGTATTTCAGTTAAAAGTCGCTTTTCATTGAGTACGGTAGGTATACTTCTTACGATCATAGAAATATTTTTAAATAGGTAGGCCATTTTAACAACCATAAGTAAATTGAAATTCGACGATCTTGTTGACGAATGAACAAATTAATTTCCTTGTAGTCAAAGGAGTAGTGTACGCCGTATCAACATTACTTTCACGTGAAATATCAAGTAGGTACTTCCTCTGGAATCGCAGTACCTAATTGGAACATACATAAACATCAATATCATTTATCTATTCACTTACTTGTGGCGCTGACTTCAGGCCCAAGGGACTCGAACGCTTTTCCGAAGCTCAATTTCAACAGACGATCTGAATCTGAAACAAAGTACAGAATAACGCCATCTGTTGGTAGTCACAAAATTCACGGAGGAATCTGACTAGCGACTCACGTAGTTCATTGAGAAAAATGTAGATGGCGCTAAATTGATTTTGCTAGTGCTAGCGCCTAGGTGAAAGATGAGTTTGCTTCTTCCGTGAGTTCAAAGTGAACAGACTAGATGGCGTTGATAATATTTTCATATCATTTTGTATTTTTCGAAGCAAATATTTATCTAACTAAGGTATTTTCTCACACATTTTGTCATGAATGTATAGCTTTGTAATTTACCAGAGTCAAATAACAATCTTGCAGGATCTGAGGTACTTATTCAAAATTCAAATGCATTTTCCGGAGAGCAATAAAGCTAGGCGGTATTAAGTAAGTGACATTGTGGGAACAAGATAGGCATCTAGTGCCATACGAAATAAGCGCCAGCCTAACATCTGGAAGGCGGCCAACGATTCTATTCATACCTTGTTGGCTGCGAGGCAAATTTAACTGGATCGCCGCATTTATAACCAAGCGTCCAAAAAGAGCTCGGGCAATTTTATTTGGGGAAAATCATAATTCTTGGCCGCGACAAATTGATTTGAATAAAGCAGCACGCATACGGATATTTTGTTAGTGTTTATTCGTATTTCTGAACAGAAGCTCTAGTTAGACAATGAAAACGCATATTCTGATGCTTCTTACATTCTCAGGGTTGAGACTTGTCTTATGATCTGGATTGCAAACCTTTTTTTACGAGAGGAATAATGGGAATAACACGACAAAACAACTCGTTGGGCGCCACTTTCCTGCAAAACAAAGTGGCGCCCAACGAGTTGTTGTGTTATTCCCATGAAGAGCGACATAACATCTATTTCACTACTTTACTAAACTGGAATTCATGAAAAGGAAGATTGGCAGACAGGTTCCTATAGCTACTAATTGGATTAAGTCATCATATTTTAAGTACATATTTTTGAATCTTTTTGTCCCTGTTGATCATCCACTTACCTACCCCCTTATTATTAAAAGTTACACCCCATTTGAACTCTGACTTAAGTTGTCAATTAGTATGGAAATGTAATTTTAATCCAGAGTTCATCCTAGGTGTAACTTTTAATTAATAAGGGGGTTAGAGTGCGAGTTACAGGTTATCATATTCATTTCAGGGAGTAGTCTTAATGAAACGAATGAGATTCATTTGCTAAGATCACCTCAAGTTAAACCTCTAATTAAAAAGATAATTAAGCAAACCAGCAGCTGTTGAGTCTGGAGGCGGCTGGAAGTGGAACGTGGCTGCAAACCCCTGCCCTGCTGTGGCGGAGTTAGCCGTGAACTGTAGCAGCAGTGCTGGGCCCGTCGACAGCACTTCGTACCCTGAAACGAAAATATGGTATCAATAAAAGCTCGTGAAAATCAAGTACATTTGAGGCTAATGGATTTTGTAAATGTTATGAACTGACGTATAGCGAGAAGATTTTGACGCAGAGATTTAAATGCCTCAGTTATTAGACTACTCGTATATTAGATTGATTGCTGTTCTAAGTATTGGGAAGGTGGTTCAAGTTTATTAGACGACCATCTGCCATATTGGACTAGGTAGGTACCTATACCTACGAGTATTATCAATGCCAGCGGTTGCAGCTTTGATTCCGCATTCTTATAGGTAGGTAAGTTTTTTTGTATTCGTTGTTTGGTATCGTTTGTGGCGCAGGCTTTAAATTGGTTTTTACATTACTTAATTTTTCTCTTAATTCAACTGGAAAGGCTAGCTAGGTACTAAAAATGGCTATTTAGGTACTTAGAAAATTAGGTCTATTTCTGCATCAATTACTTCTCCAAATGGATCGAAATTACCTTCTGTCTCAATAAGACCCAGTTCCCGCACCCATCGGTAAATGTATCAAAAATGAAATACAATATCCAAAGGTTCCGTATACCGCCGGATTTCCTTGTTCGACACATCCTCATTGCGAATTCAGTCTATCAAAGAAGCCCGCCAAAATACGAGCGCGGTGTTTCCTAAAGGTGTAAAGTGTCCATGAGTTTTGTAGTTCTAAAGGATTTCCATATCTTGAAGGGTAAGTTAGGATACTTGAAATTGTTATTTGCAGAAAGTTGATGAATGCGCAATGCACATCAATAGTGCCATTGGAAATTCTTCAATAGTGAAGATAATATTAACAGTGTCAAGTTCACTAAGCACTCAATTCGGAGCTTTAAACCCAGTCATTAAGATAATTCTTGAACGTAACCTAGGAACATAAACTCGTGGCGAATTTTGATTTTTGTGTGTTTGTAGGTAGGTATACCTATATTTATTTTATGTAACCGCATTCGTTAAAATTTTCATATTTGATTAGAAATATGTACCTCCATTGCCTATTTACTGCATTATTTCACGCTAATAATGGAAAACCACTGTTTGTTTGAATGTACTAATTATTACCTAAACAATCGCTAATGAGGTTCATTGGTTTCAAATTTCAATTATGATATCATCGTAGGTAAACAAATTAAAGCTTTAAATAACAAGTCAAAATATCATTTACGACGTTGTTCGTTCGTTTCAGCCGAAAGACGTCCACTGCTGGACAAAGGCTTCCCCCAAGGATTTCCACGAAGACCGATCCTGCGACGCTTGCATCCAGGCACCTACCGCGACCTTCACCAGATCGTCGGCCCACCTAGTGGGAGGCCTGCCCACGCTACGTCTTCCGGCTCGTGGTCACCACTCAAGAACTTTCCTGCCCCAGCGGCCATCAGCTCTACGAGCTATGTGCCCCGCCCACTGCCACTTTATTTTAGCGATTCTGCGGGCTATGTCAGTCACTCTGGTTCTCCTACGAATCTCCTCATTTCTGATTCGATCACGTAGGGAAACACCGAGCATAGCACGAAAAAGGAATATTCTAGATTATTTACGTTTAGTAGTTTACAAATGAGTCTCAGAAAATCAGAGCTGTATGATTTTCTAAGTATTTGTCTACTATAATGTCGCTCATCATCATTCTAGTATGCACGTACCTAATTATGTGGTTTTAGAAGAAAGCTGGACAGCTTTGTTCTAAAACCACATAATTAGGTCCACTGATTCTGATTTTCTATCTGGTAGGGCAAAAAAAGAATGAGACATGTATAGGCTCCTTAAGAGCATTTGACGATTTGCAAGAACTAATTTAATTAGTCTAAACAAATAAAGATAATTTTGATTTGATTTTGATTTTTAACGCTTTTATCAATAGAAAAGTAAAGGAACTTAGTCATGTTATTCTAGTCTACTTTTAAACTGGGTTAAGTTTTTAGGGTACTATAGAGTAGGTATGGGAATGTCTCAGTACCTCCATGAACCTAAGTCACCCCATAAAAATAGGCATGTGTGGTATCCTTAGTGTCAGCAACGGATGTTTAAGATACCTACACCCTAAACGTGCTCTGAATAACGTCTATTTTCCGATGTAGGCCATAACGTGATAGCTGCCATTTTTATCTAAATATTAGAGTGGTATTATCATGCCCTTTAGTCCCATAAGAAGCTCATGAGCTTTAAGGGTAGGAAGTAAGGATGTTCTAAAGATAGCTTATCTTATTGTTTTGTTCTAAATATACAACTAATTTTGAAGTCGAATAACTGATAACTAGACCAGTTATTACCAGTTTGTATAATAAGCTAATTGATGCAAAGGTTAAATAATTATTTTGGTTATAATTTGGTGCATTATTAATGAACCACACACAATAGGTAATTGATAGCAAAGCAGTAGCAAGTTCAAATTACACCAAACAATCTACTTTTCAATACATTTACGAGTAAATGAGCTTAGTAGCTTAAAATGAGGTTTGTGTTGTATAATTATATTTTCTAATGAAACTAAGATAAGATCCTTCTTAGGCTTCATATTATAAACTTACCTAATTGGAAAAAACTTTGGACTATTTGGTAGCAAACTTTAACCTTCTTGTGTATAGGTCTATCGATTTATTACTATACAAATTATACACTGGTAGATAATGTTATCTGCAATAGTTATTTGTAAATAGGAACACACTGGAACATTTACTGCGCGTGACCTTTACGATGCATCTTGCAATCGATAAAAACAATCCTTGAACTCTACGGTTATCAAAAGTGCATGGCATGCACAGTTGGCTACTTTATTTGCAATTATAGCACTTAATAAATATAAATACTAAAGATTTTTACGTACAGTCAACGTTAAATAGTAAATAACACCCAAAATGATCAAAAAGTTGACAACACAACCTTAATTCAGACGTGTTGCGTACTTTTTGGCTACTTTGGGGACGAACTATTTTTTTTTATCCACAACGAGGAAGCTCTTGGCCTGTATCTCACCTTATGGTAAGTGACGATCAGGCCGAAGGTGGAAGCGAGCTTCATCCGGAATCCTCAACCACGGAGGAACTGGCTATCTTACCTCTAACTGCCGGAACACAACAATGCTGTTAACATTGTTGTTATGGCGACAGACTTAGGTAAGATGGTGGTAGTTAGCCAGGTGGACTTAGAACAAGCCCTACCACCAACCAAACCGAACAGAAAAATCTGCCCCCATTGGGAATCGAACCCGGAACCTCTGCGTCTGAAGCAGGTGGTCTTACCACTAGACCACAGAGGCGGTTAATTTGATGCTGACTGTACTTACCAAGTTGCCGATTCATACTGTGGATTGACCACTAACGCTGAAATTGATAAAAAAAAATTTATTTTTAAATGTTATATACCTAGTTCCAGATAATAAACACTTTTACACTAAAGCATTACTGAAAACCTGGATATTAGGTATTGCGAATGGAGCTAGCAATCCCGGCTTGCCGCAACTAGAGCATGGAGTAGGGTTGTCAACGTTTTCGTTCGTTCGTTTAAGCCAAATTACCTTTACTGCTGGACAAAGGCCTACTGCAAGGATTTCCATGACCGGTCCTGCGCTGCCCTCTTCCAAATAATCATCGCGTTACCTTAATTAGCAACCTAAATATGAAATAGTACCTACCTACTTAGTGTGTAAAAAAGTTATTGCTCAGTTGAAAATATAATAAACAGTATTGAAGGACAACGTCTCCAAAACACTTCTTGTAAGCTTTGAAAACCCAAACAGATTCTAAAGTCTTCTTTTTTACATTTTGTTGACCCTAGCATCAAAGCTACTTTAACCTGTCATTACTCATTCAAAAAGATGTAAAGGTAGATACAGACGTAGGGGAAGGTGACGAGGGAAGTTTCGTTACGGTTAAGATTTAACTTCTTATGGTGGCCATTGTTTTTCCTTGCGATATCGGTTTAAAATGTGCTATCCCATTTTATTTTCTATTTATTTACCCTATATTTGTACGATAGGGTCAAAAATGCTGACAGAAAATACACAGGTCATGATTAAGCCGAATGAGGCCCTTTAATTTGAACTTCACACAACAGTAGCTCTACTGATTGACCCCTGTTTGTATTGTTTTGAAAGGTTATAGTTTCCTTGTTCTGTTTTTCTCTTTGATTTATTTTAGAGAACGTTTGTTGCGGCCGCAACGGGCGCCTCCTTGGCTGCGCGCACTGGCCAGCAAGAATATTTTTATTTTTTTCGTTTTTTCTTATGTCAATATTTTTCATCAAATGTCACTCGATCCTCTCGAATTTCTCGAATTACATCAACGAGCCAATACAAATTTTATTGTTTCAATACGTAATAAATAAAACGTACATGTTTTTTGGCCTACACGAGCCGGATACCTTTCGCCTGTTCGGGAACACATAATTGGACACGGATGCCAATACTTTCGAACTGGAGAAGAAGCGATACCCAGCGACCTCGATACACGTAATTTCTGAAGACGTCAACGTCGTGTCTTCAGAAACCCGGCCTTCGCAGCAACGAAACGCGACGGACGGGCCTCGTACACGTAACGTACCGACTATCATTCATTTCTCATTATCATAATCGTATTATTTTTCTCGTATTTTTAATAATTTCATCATGCCCGCGAAATTAAGCGAACTCGTGAGTAAGCGCGGCGTAATTAAAGCCAAACTCANAATGTGTACATATGTCCATTGTAAATAATTACGGGTTGTACATATGTATGTATATAAAACATGGTGGAGAGCGCAATAGCGCCACATAAAAGATGTCCTCGTGGTCAAAAGATGGGTCCGCAACCGTGGACAAACTGGGCATAGGCGGAAATCGGGTCAAGGCCTCGCTACACCGGTACTTCCTCTATGCTCAGAGAGATGGACATTCGTGGTTATTTTAGTGGGTAGGCCCCGCCCTTCTGGCGGGAGAGCCCCACATAACCCGTCGCCATGACCACAGCGGCGGGTATGCAATTTTATGCATTTTTTCCACGTAAAAAAAAAAAAAAAA